ACCAGCTAATCCACTTCACTGGTCGATGACTCATAGTCGGAGCAATGGGGCAACTAAACCTCGTACCAACACACACACACCATACGTCCACCGGTCATATCGGAGACTCAGAGGGCGAGATAGCACGTCAATAAACCTTTCTCCAAAGGAACAGGGACATAGATTTGCAGAACCGTACGTCGCTTCTAATCGCCTCCCCGTTCCAACACACACCGGAAATATTCCTACACGAAACCAACCAACCTACTCAAACACCCACCTACCTTTATAAGACTTTTTTTCCTCCATAAAATTATATCTATTCAGAGATGGTTATAACACGAAGCCACTATATGTGCCACCAGGCTAAGCAAAAATCTGAAATATGGAAACAAAACACTGTGTAACTAAAGCGACAAGGTGAAAGAACACATACATGTATATTAATTAAAAATGGAGAAAATCTTTGCCCGTTGAGGGGTTTTCAATGAATAAAGACAATATATGCAACAATTACATACCTTATGACGGTGAAAGTATCTCCCAGCAAGGTTCTTTAGCCTATAACCTCTTCAGTCAACAATAAACTCCTTGGTTACATACAGTAGCTTTTATTTCTTAACCCATGATTTCAGCTCACATCCAAGTTGTGGTTTAAAACAACAGAGTGTAGAGGTCATTTGTTCGATTGGTCGTACTTTCTATCTGTATAGTAGACAAATCGAACGTACCCAATCAAGAATTTTTGAGCTGACTAGAAAGAACTGTTCATCAGCACTTTTAAAACAATGGTGAGTTTGAAGTTTCTAATCACTATTGTACTACACTGAGCACAATTCACACCTTATTTTCTCCCTTAATCAAATTTTGTAACTTTTAAAAAATAATGGGGATGGTGTAATCTATTAAACGAATGAAGGATAGGAGGGGGGGGGGGGGCATTTATAAATGATGGGTTAGTTAGAAGAAATATATTATATAAGTCAGCTAGAGGGGAGGGGTGGGGTATCTTAAAGAGTATACTGATTGCCTGATAAATGAATAATAAACATTTTCCATTGCTTCTCTTGATTTGTTGAAGTAACATTACATCTATGTCTAGTTATTTACGGAAAATTTACGTTCACGGACGCCATGTAGAATTACTCCACTAAGACATTTTACGCAAATGATTGTAGACTCTGCCACTGATTTACTTTTAGGTTTATTTGCTTACTTTTTGAACAGGTTGTTCCACAGATGTTATAGAACGAATGTAGTCCATCTATTTTTCGAAAACTGCCAAACAATAGTATGAGTATAACCGGTAATAGTCTACTTTCAATTTGACTAGTTCAAAATTGTCATGGTCACCATATATTGAAGTTTTTTAGGAGACATTAAGGATTGGTCAGGCTTTAAATCGACATTTTGGAAAGCTTTCAACGAGATTTCTTGAAAAAGTTGTAGAAGGTTGAATTTCGTGTTTTAACATGGGAAGAGATGGCAAATGAATTAGTGGAGTGAGTCCTGTATGTTGTTATGACATGATTTGTGTCCTTCGACGGAATCCCGATAATTTTCCTTGTGTCGCTTTCGTTGATTGTCTGAATCACGAGGAGTCAAAAAGTTCCATTTTCGTATTGGCTGCTGGCTATCGTCTGCGGACTTGATCTTAGTTATTGTCTGCAAACCTTATTGTCTGTCCAGTTGATCTCGACGAGAAAGAGATCTGTATCTGTTGCTCTAGGAAAGAAGTGGATAACTGGAGAACGAAGTAATGTAGTCTGCTTTCTGAAACCGATGAGAGATGAGAGATCGATTCATATTGTAAGTTATGAAATGCAAACCGAAGTGAATATTGACCACTGCATTGAGAAATGTCAAATTAAAAGCACACATTTAGGCTATCCGGTTTGGAGAAATAGAAATCAAGCAATTTTACATTAATCTAAAGCAAATTTACTAGGCCCCGGAGTCGTCACATTAAGTCGAAATCGTCTGTCATCGAGTTTTTTTCAACTTGTTGAAAACCTTTATGCAAGTAATTCCAATATCAGACTTACCAAGTGGCAAGTATGCTGAACAACCACTGTACGGATTACCAAACACCTGTACTTCACACAGCGTTAAATGATCATTGTAATAAGACATCAGTAAAACGAATCTTCCAACGCATTTCTGGGTACATGTCAAATTTGCCCATTGACCTCCTGGTACCGCCGTTAGCTGCGTGGCACAAATACAAAATGCATTCGCCGTCATGTTATACTTGATGTGAGGACCAGGATCATATTCCCAAACAGAAATGGTGAAATTTTGCAATCGTTCTTCTGAAATTAAGTAAAATATTGATATTTTAAAAGAATATATAATTGTATAAGGGAGTAAATCTGGAATACAATGGAACATAGTTCAAGATGCCTGATGCCTTGACATCCTTGCCTATTTTATGTCAGGGAAGTTTGCATTTGATAACGAATACAGACAATCAAAGCCAACGACAGAAAGACTGCAACTAATGACTGCGGTTAATTACGATAGGAGAGCTCTGATTATTTTGTACTGTATTGGCTAGCGTACAATTTAGTGCTGCTGCAAGCTTCCGTGATAGAAGAAAAGTGCCTAATGATGTTAAGGTATTGGGCAGAGTTTTTAATGGCTTGACACTGTGACAAAGAGGTGATGCGGTGGTTTTAGTGCAACAGGGACAGAACACATCCAATACATCGTAAAATATGCTCTGAAAGAATGAAAACTACTTTACCACAACAATCTCCTCTATTGAGAACATTGACATTTGTAATTTTGTAATTGGCTTCTAAGTCTACCAGCCACAAATTTGGGACAGGTCCTGTTGTACTTTGTGTATGAGAACAAAATGAAGCATTTCCATCAACTGCTACCGATGCCGTGTGATGGGTTTTATAGTCATGTCTGTTCATGTAAAGTAATACCATCTCCATTGTTATTTTTGTATACATGTATATCGGGTGTCACAAGAAAGAAAACGTCCCCAAATTGACGGTAAGTATCTCAGCTCTTGGTGAAACGATCTCTTTCAAAATTCTCACAGATTTACTTCGACATGTCCTTGACAAACCCTGAAAATATGAGAGTCATCGAATAAAAATTGTACAAGTACTGCCCCGAACAAATTAGCCTGCAAAATTCAATATCAGAGCAAATTACACATAACAGCCTGTGTTCATTGTGCTTTCACCACATCGACCACCAATTTCATCCATTTTCCACCCTGAAATGCTCTCACGGATCTTAGGTATTTTATCCTAAAAAGCTACCATCATGCCTTCAGTTCCTGTTCAGCCAGTTTGTCCCACTGGTGCCAGTAATTACTCCAGATCATGTGGGATTCTCTGAAGGAACGGGTGTACTGCGCTTTGATTAGAGGGACATACTGACTGAAAAGAAACTGAAAGGCAGGTGATTGTCGCTTTTTGAGAAATGGTACCTTTAGATGAGATTCTTGAGAGCTTATCAGAATGGAAAATGGCGAATATTGGTGGTCGATGTGGTGAAGGCACAATGAACACAGGATGTAATGTGTAAATTGCTCTGATATTGAATTTTGACAAGGACATGTTGAAGTAAATCTGTGAGAATTTTGAAAGAGATCGGTTCATCGGCAGCTGAGATACTTACCGTCAAACTTGGGGACGTTTTCTTTCTTGTGATTATTATATGTCTTTTGGATTATTTGTCATGCCTATTATCTTGGATATTATTTACTATTACTGTAATGTTTTCTATGTAATGTAGCCAATGCTATAGGTCTAGTCCTATATTGAAACTCTTCTGTGTTTAATGTGTAATTGGAATGTTTGTGTTTGTATTTGTATGTTATATGTGTAATAGAAATAAAGTTCTTTGAAAATACCGTTTTATATTTCTTTAAGGTTTTGGCAACTCTACACTTTTTAGCGTCGGGCAGCTTTTTAACCACTGTTGGTGATGTCCATGGAATTTCAAAAATTTCAACCAGTAGAGCGATTGGAAGAGTGCTCGATTCCCTTTGTTCTAGGGCAAAAGAGCACATTAATTTTTCAACTAATAATGACGACCTATTAAAAATTACACAACAATTCTACGAAATAGCTGGCATGCCACATTGTTTAGGGTGCATTGATGGCACCCAGATTGAAATTGTTGCACCTAATGGCGATGATGAACATCATTATGTGTGCAGAAAAGGCTATCATAGCTTAAACATACAGGCTGTGTGTGATACTAAACTAAAGTTCCTGAATGTTGGCAGGTAAAAATCAACTACTGTTTTAATGCTTATTACAACAAATATTGGTTACAAGAAATATAAAATTGATAACAAAAGATTTATGTATCGGGTGTCACAATAAAAATGTCCCCAACTGTGCCGGTAAGTATCTCAGCTATTGGTAAACCCATCTCTTTCAAAATTCTCACAAATATACTTGAAGATGTCGTCCAGTCCTGAAAATACGAGAGCCATCGAATGAAAATTGTAAAAGTACTACCCCAAACAAAATAGCATGTCAAAAAATCCGATATCGAGAAATTTACCTATTTCAACCTGTGTTCAATGTGCCCTCCACAATTTCAACCACCAATTTCAACAGTTTTTTCAATCCTAGGCTGCTGTCAAGTATCTCATCTAATGGTACCATCTTCCAAGAAGCGATCATCCTGCCTTTCAGTTTCTGTTCAGTCCGTGTGTTCCGCTAACACATTTTCCTTAAGAGAATCCCATATGCCTCGGAATCAGTACCGGCGCCAGCTGGACAAACTGGTTGAATAGGAACTGAAAGGCAGGGAGGCCGCCTCTTCGGAGAAGGTACCTTCAGATGAGACCTGTGACAGCATCTCCGGATAGAAAAACGATTGATATTGGTGGTCGAAGTGGTAGAGGGTACGTTGAACACAAGTTGAAGTTATTTGCTATCCGTACTCTAGAATATAAAACACTAGTGAATAAAAATAAATGTTAGGCTACCTCTTAGCTTGGTGTTCCTCTATCTTTTGCAGTAAATTGACTTGTTTCTGCAAAAGTTAATACGAAGTCACATCCCCTGTACCGGTAGTCGTATATTCTTTAAAAATAAATAAAATGTATTTCATTTGGAATCATAAAAAAATTTGATCACAATCTAGTTCAGGAACGGAGAAAATTATCAGGAAAAAAGAGACGAAATTGTGATCTAATTTTAATTAGATTATTATTATCTATGGGACATTGTGGTCGCTGCGCTGTTCTGTTTGCATGATTCAACAATTCGACAATGTGTTATTTGACACAAGGAACTGCATTATATTAACCAGTAATATCTTTACCGCATACATCATAGTATTAAGACTATTTTTCACATTTCGTTCCAATACATAAAAGTAAGTTGTTAATGAGATGTAATTTATCGAATGGTTAATATTGGAACATTTGCTTACTTCTCTTCATTCCTGATTTGCTTACAGGCTGTTCATTTTCTTTTTTCTGAGAGGCCTTAAAACTTTTTTTTAGGAATGACACAAACATGACAATCTGAATATTGATTCTTATCGATTCTTTAAAGGGAACTGACATTTCTATGACTACACGTCTCAGATTTCAGATTTTTTTTCTAAAAACTGACGTAAAAGAAAATATTTGCTGTAATGAATAAAAAACAACCAAAGATCAAATATGAACAATGCGGTAACATTTGTTTTTACACTGAAAGAAAACATTTACATTTTTTTCTGTTCCAATGTTTTTGTATGATTTCGGCTTTTGGAAACTTTCGAAGATTTAACGACTACGGCAAATGTTAATGCCTAAATAAAGAAAGAAAAATTGCACTTTGAAGAGGTATTGTTGGTCCTATTTCTTAACATTTAAGCGACAATAAAAGCCAAACATGTCCTTAGTTGAATTCTGGCAGTTCACTGGAAAGACTAATTACGTAAATGTACAAACTGATAGCCGAAATAACCGAATGGTTGACTTTAAACTTCATAGAAAAATCTTTCAATTTCAGACGCCAAAAACAAATTAAAACAAAGTGAAGTAATGTATTAGGGTTTGGCCATTTTCCAAACTCCAAAGCCTCCAATTTCCTGTGAATAAAGCGTGTAAGATTATTTCCAACCGACATGGAGGAAGTAAAGCGGAAACGAGAGATAATGGCGAGGCTATTCTGAGATAATTAATATTGAACTTATTATATCGCCATGTTTTATACCACGTACACCCTGATATAATGAAAGGAATTGTATATCAGCAATTGGAGCTGTGTGAGTCAGTGCAGGAGAACTACAATCCATAATGTTCCAGTTCACTGTTGATACATAACTTTAGAATTTTTACATTAAATAAGAACTTTCACTGTATATTGGAACTTTTACAATACGTTGGAACTTTGTATAAGAACTTTGACTGTATATCAGAACTTTGGCTGTATATCAGAACTTTGACTGTATATCAGAACTTTGACTGTACATCAGAACTTTGATTGTATATCAGAACTTGGGCTGTTTATTAAAACGTGGATGTATATTAAAACTTTCACTGTATATTAGGCATTTGGGTGCATATCAGATCTTGACAGTATATCAGAACTATGGCTGTAAAGCGTGGTTTTATATCAGAACTTTGACTATATATTAGAATTTTGATTGTAAATGATAACTTTGATGTTATTAAGAACTTTGGCTTTATATAAGAGATGTTAAGGTAAATTCGAATTTTGACTTTTTATCGGAACCTTAATTTTCTGACAGAATTTAACTGGTTATTAAAAAGCTATGATTATGAATGTTAAATAAAACTTTGATTGTATATCAGAACCCTGATTTAATATCAGAATTTTGATTGTCTTTGATAGAATATCAGAACCTTGATTGTCTTTGATTGTATATCAGAAATTTGATTGTATATCAAGAATTTGATTGTATATCAGAAATATGATTGTATATCAGATCTTTTATTGTATACCAGAACTTTGATTGTATATCAGAACTTTGATTGTATATCAGAACTTTGATTTTATATCAGAACTTTGATTTTATATCAGAACTTTAATTTTATATAAAAACTTTGATTTTATATCAAAACTTTGATTGTCATTGGTTGTATATCAGAACTTTGATTGTATATCAGAACTGTGATTGTATACCAGAACTTTGATTTTATATCAGAACTTTAATTGTATATCAGAACTTTGATTGTCATTGATTGTATATCAGAAATTTGATTTTTATCAGAACTTTGATTGTATATCAGATCTTTGATTGTATATCAGAACTTTATAACTTTAACTGTATATTAGAACTGTGATGTTACATGTGTATCAGAACTTTGTATATTAAATCACATGCGAATGTTAATGGGTAATTCTGGAAATTGAAATTGGCAAAAATATACTTGAATATGTTATCATGAAACACATTGAGATATTGCGACTTTAAATCATTGTCACCAAACAACAGTGGATTTCCGAAGACTTTAGGGCATTTATTGGGAAACAGAAACCCCGTGATTTATTGGTAGAAAATATAACTTTGTCATCAACAAGAAAGGCTATCAAATGAAGCCTCAAGGTTTCCACAGGAAATGAAAATTCCCCGAAATGATCATTAACTTTCAGTGTTGGTGATTTACTGTGTTCAACGCCTTAATTACATCACGTTATCCGCGGTTTATCCTTTGGCAAACCTGGCTTAATTTGATATTGGACCAGTAACAATAGCATCCACGAAGATTATCTTTCTAGAAGTTACTAGTAAACAGGTCATTTGGTAATAATTGATGAAAATTGTAAGACATAACCTACAGATTGACCGACTTCCAATAGTCATAATATAGTTCAGGAAGATTAAGGACTAATTTTCTTTATTATGATTTCCTGATCATATTCTTTCAAGTGTTTCAAGGCTTGCTATAGTCTCAAGCAAATAATTGCCATTTTTTCAGGGTATATAATTGTGAAATATTTATATCACGTCCGTTATGAACAGTCCGAATAAAGCATATGGTGTAAAAATTGAGATTTAGGCCATAACTGGTATAAATTGTAAATCGCAAATATACTGAAGAACATTAGCATAAACAATGTTTAACAATGCGAGGATTTCATCAGAATTTTAATCCAGTTTTGGAGCTGACACAGACTCAACCATCTCACAATGCAACCAGATAACTTGGTATAGACTAGTGATGGCACGATATATCGATGAATCGATATATTGCGATGCCACATTCGAATATCGTATCATTCACAATTCGTGTATCGTATTGTGTTGTCATGTATCGATACAGCATCCGAATGCAGCAGAAATGGAAAGCTGAAGTTTCATTTATTCACGAGATAGCAGCAAGCTGTATCGCAGTTCAAATCGTATCGTGGCATGATTGACACTCTCTACATTCTGTGTATAAAGGCTGAAAATGGCTGCCATTAGAAAACTGAAGTTAATCAATCACAAGCAGTTTTTTCTCAATAATTATTTGATGAAGAAATGTATTTTACCACCTGAGTCACAAGATCAATTATTTATTTTCTGCTAAACTTCATCGATTTTTACTTTAAAGAATTATTTTCGATTTTCTTTAATCATGGCTGTTTGTAAAACAATGTATAATTGGATGCTTTGGGATGTTTTTAATTACAATCAGTCGATAAGGAATTTATTCATAGCATTTAATTTTTGTAGGTTACAAGGCAAGTCTGAATAATATCTGTTGACACTTGCTTGGTTTTATTTAAACCACGATCTTGGCGACTTATTGTTAGATTTTTAGAACCATCGGGAAGACCTAGAAAAATAACATATAAACGAATCAGATTGCAAGAGTGTAATCCGTCAGATTGTATGATTACATTTGTCGCCATGTTGTTTCCACATGTGTACTTCACTTCCGGTGAACAAGTAACAGTGTGCCACTAACAGTGTTCTCGTGTCCGTTCTTTGTTTCTGGTTTTGTGATATCTCGGTCAATCTTTCCGAGAGTCTATTCAGCCTATTAATGTTTATTGGTGATCATGTGTACGGTATAATATCACAAGACTTAGAATTGTTGAACGTGACCATGTTTAAGGAAGAGAGTTTATGTCATTCTGGTATCAGAAGGTCACTTGACATTCTGTCAGTCTAGTAGAGGCCCATAGCCCATTGCTTTCAGAAGATGTAGACTAGATTCGATGCTTTGCAAAGAGGAAAATTAAGCAAGAAACGTAGCAAAAAATTGGCTTTAAAAGTAGGATGCATCAAATCCAGGGGGTATGGTTAGGGCATCGTAGCCTTGTTCGTAGCCTTGTAGCATATTAAATCTTGTAGTGCAACTAAACTTAGTCACCAGAACTGCGAGACTGAAACCAAAATTCCAAAGAAAACATCGCTCTAAAAATTTGAGACGAAACAGAACACACACAGCCAGCCTTCAACTACCCAGACAAATTTATTAGATTATCGATGTGTTTTTGTCATTGAAGATTACCATACTCACTTTAAACTTGATATATTCCATTTATCAATTACCTTCTTTATAGACAGTATTGGCCTAATTTATATTGAAACATTATTAGTGTCATTATCAAACGTTTGACATGAAACTAGTCAAAAGAACAAAAGCACACCATGACCCTTTTCTTATTTCAAAGACCAAGCAAGATTAATATCTGACGAAGGCATGTCGGACACCAAAACCTATATTTTCTAAAATATTCCAGAGTAACATATTCCAGAATTGATATATTTCAGAAATGGTGTGAAATATTCCCTTAAGTATAGTGTGAAAATATCTCAGAAATATAGTGTAATATCTGGGAAAAAGGTGACAATATCTCAGGAATATAATTCAAAATATTCAAGAAATATTATGTGAAATATCTCAGAAATAAATGTTCAAAAATAAAGTGAAAAATATCTCGGAAATATAATGAAATATACCTAAGAAATATAATATAAAATATTCAAGAAATATAATATAAAATATTCAAGAAATATAATATAAAATATTCAAGAAATATAATATAAGATATTTTAGAAATATGATATAAGATATTCTAGAAATATAGTGTGAAATATCTCAGAAATATCGTGTAAAAATATCCAAGAAATATAGTGTGAAATATTCCAGCAATATAGTGTAAAAATATTCAAGAAATAAAGTGTGAAATACTCCCGCCAAATTGTGTGAAATATCCAAGAAACATAGTGTGAAATATTCCAGCCAAAGTGTGTTAACTATCCAAGAAATATAGTGTGAAATATTCCAGTCAAATTGTGTGACATATCCAAGAAATATAGTGTGAAATATTTCAGCAATATAGTGTAAAAATATTCAAGAAATAAAGTGTGAAATATTCCCGCCAAATTGTGTGAAATATCCAAGAAACATAGTGCGAAATATTCCAGTCAAAGTGTGTTAACTATCCAAGAAATATAGTGTGAAATATTCCAGCCAAAATGTGTGAAATATCTCAGAAATATAATGTGAAATATTCCAGCAATATAGTGTAAAAATATTCAAGAAATAAAGTGTGAAATATTCTCGCTAAATTGTGTTAAATATTCCAGCCAAAGTGTGTGAAATACCCGCTAAATTGTGTTAAATATTCCAGCAAAATTGTGTGAAATATCCATGAAATGTAGTGTGAAATATTCCAGCCAAATTGTGTGAAATATCTCAGAAATATAGTGTGGATTATTCCTGCCAAAGTGTGTGAAATATTCAAGAAATATAGTGTCAAATATTCCGGTCAAGTTGTGTGAAATATCTCAGAAATATCGTGTGAAATATCCAAGAAATATAGTGTGAAATATCCAAGAAATATAATGTGAAATATCTCAGAAATATCGTGTGAAATATCCAAGAAATAAAATGTGAAAATATTCCAGCCAACTTGTGTGAAATATCCAAGAAATATAGTGTGAAATATTCCAGCCAAATTGTGTTAAAATATAGTAAGAAATGTAGTGTGTAATATCCTACAAAAATAGTGTGAAATACCTCAGAGAACATGATGTAGGCTAAAATATCCCAATAATATGGTTCAATATATCTCAGATATATAGGCCACTGTAAATTATTATAGAAATATTGTGTGAAATATTCAAGAAATTACTGAAATATTGATCAATATATTGAAAAAAAAACAGTTTATATTTTATAATTGCATGTCCGTTGTTTCTTTCAGACACCCCAGTACCTCGTTAGTCTTTAACAAAACATTTTAATAATCCAATCAAGAACAAAGTATACCAGGTGGGTTGTGTGCAGTCATTTCCGTTTTATGATAAGAAAACACTAAATTGATTACACTACATGAGATTCGCTGATTAAAAATATGTATTGTAGCTGGCATTATCATTTTGACATTTGCTTAACATTATATTATATATTCTGTATCCATGTTCTGGTATTAAATCATAATGATAATAATGAAATTAGTTTAGCTCAAATATGACATTTCTTGCCATTATAATTCAGTTTGGATAACATAAAGCAGGTATGTTTGAAATTTCTCGAAATTGTTAAGAATATCTGCTTATTTGTTTACTTATTGAATATATTTGGGTATTTGCTTGTCATTTTCATCAAATTAACTATCATAATATGTTTAAAATATCTAATGAACCCAGTTCAAAAATCTTGCCAACAACTTATGCTCTCCGTCATTCTGTTATCCCTCTGTAAGTCAGTTTAATGCCTGATAATATTTTTCCTGAGGCTAGGGGCCGTCTCGTCAACTTCATAATTATCTAACCTTTGCATATCTGTCATGTGATACCTTTTTTCCAGAAATCAACAAAAATGGCACTTAGTAAACAAACAATTGAAAGAATCCACAGAGTCAAGGTACTGATCATAAAGGGTATAAAGAAGTTCTTGACGTTTCTCTTGTCCCATGTAGGTCTAACGGTTGCTGTAGCTGGTTACGGAATTGTCGGAGGTATGATCTTCCAACATATCGAAGCGCCTCATGAAATATTACTTAGACAAAGAGCAGTAGTTGCAAGAGAACGTCTCAATCAAAAGTTGTTGAAGTTATCAGAAGATGTCAACATTACCACTAATGAAACATTATGGATGGTTGAAGCAGAAGAACTTCTGGTTAAATTTCAAGACGAAATGTTCAGCCTTACCAATAATGAAGGATGGGATGGAAAAGAAGTTGAAGATGAACTGCAGTGGTCTTTCCCAGGAGCACTTTTATATGCTGTTACGGTTATTACAACTATCGGTAAGTCTCGGTTCCTTGAAACGGCTGCGATCTGCTGAATGAAGGGGGCTAAAGTGTTTTCCGTATTTAGGAATAGTGGTGAAATGGACGATCCATTTTCTGCACGACGTTGCTTATTTTAAATAACACATGTCAATGCACCACCAAATATTCATATCGATATTAATTTTGAAATTTTGTTTCAGGCTATGGGCACATTGCGCCGAAGACGGGTTGGGGTAGAATCGTCACTATCCTGTATGCTTTATTTGGCATACCATTGACATTACTATGTCTCCGCAACATTGGAACCCTGCTGAGCTCAATCGTAAGGTTATTTTATAAATATACGTGTATCAAGGTGATAGAGCAGTATAAAGTTTGTAGAAAACGACTCAACCATTCTAGGCGTCTAAAATATTTGAAAGAAGTTGCTAAAAAGCGTGGACTGCATTTAAGGACGAGTAATGGGAAACCCGAATTGGTTACTAGTGATGGGAACAAAATTGAAGAAACTCCAGCAAAAGGACACGAACCTCTTGTGAGGAAAGCATCCAGCAGAATAGGTTCATCAAAATCCTCATCTAACGAAGACCAGAAAGAAGCAAATGAACCAGCTGTTGAAGAACAAGTTCGAGTACCAGTGACTTTGACCTTCCTTATTTTAATTGGTTATATAATAGGTGGGGCTATCATGTTTGGACTTTGGGAAAAAGAATGGGATATTCTGATAGGATCATATTTCTGTTTCATTACCCTCAGTACTATCGGATTTGGTGACTTCGTTCCGGGAACAGACGCCGATTCGTGGGCGAATCATGAAAAGAATATTATTTGTTCTGCATATTTGCTATTTGGCATGGCAATCATGGCCATGTGCTTTCATTTGATGCAAGAAGAAGTCCGGTTGAAATGTCGACGACTTGCACATAGAATTGGACTGTTCAAAGAAGAACTTGTGAAAGATATATCATAAAGAGCATAATATGAGGGAAAACTGAATTGTACAAGCAAAAAGCAAAAAAACCAAGGAAAATGCGGACATGGAGCTAATCATAGTGAAATCAGTAACAATACATTAAGTGCCAATACCCCGACTTAGTGTCAAATTAAGTACGATATTAAGATTGATGTTTTTTGTTACAAATACTACGAGCTTTCGCCATAGTAGTCTCGGGGAGTTCATAGAAGAGCTTATTTCCTCTGAAATCTATATGAAAACGAAAATGTTTGACAGGCTTTCAGACAAAAACTTTCCGCTAAAACTGAGTCTTGTCTTTATAATATTTACATTATCCTGGTGTTTAACAAAAGCAGAATTTGCGATATGTGAATATCAAGACAAAGTGATTAGATGCAACCATTTTCTCTCTATTGCCCTTTTCAGGATCCTTTATCGATTGCATTACCCCCTGGGTCCTTATCAATTCTAACGATTTCGAAATCTTCTTATAAGTTTTTCTTTAAGTCTTTATCAAACGACATAATTGTAAGTGTCTAAAACTTTATGCTAGACTAGAAAGTCCCTCTAAAATCTAAAAATTAGACCCTTGGAGGCAATTACACGCAGATTGAAAACCCCTAAATAGTGAATCCACAATGAAGATGTCAAATTTTCAGATTTATTTTACATATTTGAAAATACATAATCTCCCAGTTAAATAGCTAATCTACAGTGTTGTTTTATAATATAGCAACAAATCTTTCTTTCCTTTGGCTATTATACACGGAAAACAAAATATACAAGTCCAGTTTGCAAATACTACTGAACACTTTCAATATAATATAATACACTTTATATGCAGGTTTTAATACAAAACGCCGTTTTGAATGTACAATTGATAATAAACAGTAAAATTTCCTCACTGTATAAAAAATAAGCATGGGGAAATTTATCAATTTGGTCTAAAGGGTGACTATCAGCTGGACCAAATAGTTGACCACTGTTTCTTAACAAGCTATATATAGATAGAGGTAATAAATAATGTGATGTAATCAGAAATAAGTACATACAAATCAAACAGACAAGGTGCCAGACTTCAATAATCTTATGCAGAATTCACTCATTGCAAAATTGTCAAATTGTTTTGACAAAACCACCTTCTTAATAGTCTATAAAATTCCAAGAAGTTGTATATACCATAAAATTTGCCCTATTTTTCAATATACATTGGCAATTCTCTGATATATTTATATGAAAAATTCACAAAAATGACTTGCACATTATTCTTCCAAAGGATTTAAAGGAATACTACCACTGAGAATGCACATAAAATTAAGATTTTCAAACTTGGCCAATAAGAGTATATGTTCATCTATACCTAGTATCATAAATACACAACAGAATCCCTCTAATATTTGAATTAATAAAACCTAAGTAGCTTGTAAGCGTTTATCAATAATTACATTGTTTTATGAATTATTGGCTAGCGATTCTGTTTTACACATAGTCATATTGGCCAATTTTGGGAAGTTAAAATTTTATATGCATTAAATGCATTTTACATCTTTAGCAAGTGTCCAGCAATAAACTTTAGAGAGTCAGAAGGAACCATGTATTATTCATAAGATGTTTGTCTAAATCAGTAACAAGGACTAATCTCATGATGCTGCTTGTTTCTTTCATAAGATAATTGAATGATGACACTGTGTCTATCTAATGTCCACCTTGACTCTATTATTTCATACTAAGATGACCATAAAGCAATAAATAATAATATTATGGGGCATCAAAATGATAAAGTAATAATAATAATAAAATAACAATAGGGGCAAGGTGGAAGAAAAGGACTTTTTATCCCAAATTATGCCACTGTATACCCACTTTATTTCATTAGTTGTTTAAGATTCTGATTGAATATTGTATACTTTTTGATCATATTGTGGGTGACCGCTTGAAACCTCGTATATGCCATATTTGGTCAACTTGACTTTTTGGTACCGTTTGAAAGCTCGTAAAAGCATGGATCTTGAGATCAAAACCTCTTATTCTTAGCTAGATTGTACATAACCTCACAACTACCAATTAAATAGGCGGAAAATGAAAACCATGTATCTTATAGAAGTAAAAAAAATAATAAAAATAATTTTTACAAATAGTTTTTTTTTGATTCTTTCACAAAAAGGAATTTCACCTCACGTATTGTCTTGCTAGGTTTCAAGGTTTTTGCTTTTTTGCTTGGAAAATGAAAACCATGTATCTTATAGCAGTAAAAAAAATAATAAAAATAATTTTTACATATAGTTTATTTTGCTTCTTTCACAAAAAGAAATCTCACATATTGTCATGCTAGGTTTCAAGCGACCACCCATGATATATTACCTTATATTTCATTTGACCAATCTTAAGTAAGTTAATAACACTGAGATAAATATTATCATTCTAACATGTTACCTCACAGTTGACCTTGACTTCATATTCTCTAAGTATTACAGTGTATGGAAACTTTATCTAAGGACTTCATGAATATTGACAATGAACTCGTTTGATTTCAATGGAAACTAGCCAAATGTTTTCTTTTTCAAATACAAGCTCCTAGAGGCCATGTACATTGTATTAGATAATCATTTTTCTAGTGTTGTACAATGAACATCAAAAAATCTAGTATCTTACAGCATTTAGTATTGCATTAGACAACAATTCAGTTCTATCACAAAATCATACTACTATAAATTGATGTTATACTTCTCATATTTAACAAATCATTAATTTTGATCATTAGATTACTCTTGAGGACCACATACAAAAGTTATCATTTGTTTAGTGAATAACTAAAATTAATTTGTCTTTATCTATTTACAAAATAATCTGAAACAGTATCCCTGTATCAAATGAGCTTTCTATATTCAGACATACAATATCAACTCAAACATATTCACTGCAATATACTCAAGGCACTTTATCAAACCAACAGAAAAACACTTCCCATGCATAATGTTACATTGTGCTTGACATAAGGCCAGTACCTATCTTTACTAGTACAATACCATACCACTTGAAGCAAAATTAGTAATGCTAGCATTGACCCATTCTTGTTTAATTTTCACTCTAATTATTTTGTTTAAAATTCAGTCTTCAAGTGTTTCTTAAAGAGATTGTAAAGAGGTTTTCTCAATTTTTTATGTGTTGCTCGGAGACTTGAGAGCATCAATTAGCAACATTCCTGAGATTCCTGCAATTTGACTTAAACTAAGTGTTTTTATGATGTCATGACTCCCAAGGGGCCTGTGAAGCATATTTTGCAATTAGTGACGTCATCAAATATTTTTATTTAGAATTTCAGGAACCTCAGACTTCTGATTGTAATTGAAATGGTGCAAATTGATGCCCTTGATAGACATTTAAAGAAAGCCCTTTATAATTCCTTTTACATAATCAATATTTTTTTTCTACTGCTGAAACTGACGGAGAATGTAATTTTATTAAAATTTAAATTAGTTCCTGTAACTCTAATACAAATAATATAGTAAGAATCAGAAATGATATTTGAGGTAATAAATGTTCTTCATTAATAATAATAACTTCGCCTACAGACTCATTAGATAAAGACTGATATCATATAGCAATTAGTGACAGATTTCCTGTTTTGCTAACTCTGCAAATGATAAACAGAATTTGTCATGTGATAGAATATCGCTATTCATATAACTCACCCATCAATGAAATTTACTTCACCTACAGGCTCATTAAACAAATACCGAAATCAAATAGCCACTTCAAGTCATTTCCAATCACCATTCCTATTATGAATTATTTTTAATACTGAATATTATGAAACTGGTGAATATCTGATTGGTAATGGGATCAATTTGATATTAAATATTCTATAGAAAGCATACAAAGATATCGAAGTAAATAACAAAGGAAGTAAGCCTATGATTTTAAGCAAAAGTCTAGGAAGATACATTTTAAAGTTTGTGAAATCAGCCTCAGAGATGAAAATTCTTATGTTACTTGCAGCGTTATGAAGAAACACAAAATTTGTACATAATTCTATTATTTTTTTCTGAATTCATTAGTTTGATGCTCCCCATTTCGGTATGAACTTAGTTTCAAAGGATCAAATTTGAATTCATGTAAAAGCTTTTTTTTGTGTGTGTGTGTATCAGGGACACATAGGGACACACAGAGACTAAAACTTTTCCTGATTGCAAATATTATTCAAACAAAATGGTCTATTGCCAAATCTAGCAAAATTTTTCAGGAAATACAGGAACCACAGACATAGGAAGGTAAATGTATATGTTCCTACAAAAGTCTCTTTTGAAATTATACTCTTGTCTACCTCATGGCTACAGATTTTTAACTTTTCTACACAAAATCTTAAAAGTTTCTGTGTTTCAAATATATTTTGTGCTTCCTGATAACAGAGCAAGTTCTAATTGACTTACAAAGCTAATACATATCAATCAATGATAATAAATATAAGTAACATAAGTTATGAAAAGCCAATATTGAGAGTTATGTGATAAGCAAGATAAATCAAAATAATGGTGATGAGCCATAATGGTTGGCAAATAAACCAGTCTAAAAAACCAATAATAATATCAAATAATAATAATAAACTTTAAGGATTGACAAAAAATGTTTCTGGGAAATATTCAGTTTGTTTTTGTTTTACTTTCTTGAATCCTGTCTGTTTCAACTTAGAAAGAACTTGATCCAATACACACTCGTCCATTTTGAAGATTTTTGATTCAATCAAAGTTTGAATTAATTCTTCACAGAGATTGCATAAGATAGTCTTCAAAACTGTGTCTTGTAGTTCATCAAACCTTTTGTCAACCAAAGGTGGCACTCGATTGGTGTGTTCTGAACAGGTTCTTACTATTCATTTCTGGCCTCAATCAAACAGTAAGTAACTGGATATATCATATCCAAACTTTTCCATCCTAATCCTCGCCTCACCATTTTGAATTCTGTCCACATGAAATAAGAGGAACACATGCTGAACCCTGAACTTGTACATTTGTACA